GGGACCTCAGGAACAATGTTTCCATTCTGTGTTATTGGCACCGAAAGTTCCTGAACCACAGAAATAAGATCAGTTAAGTATTCAGTAAACACAACTGTAAATATAGCAATTCCCTTGAATTAAACATACTATTATATGAGTATATATATTACGTTGACAACTCTTTTTTTTTTTTTTTTTTTTCGGCTGTTTTGATTTAATATCTTAAGTTGTTCATTCGAGTCAGAGTTTTTACTTTCAATTTTTGGAAACAGGTAGTTTTGAAGAACAATTTAGGATTTTCTTTTAACACAAATTAATTTACCACTGCATTGAGTTGTTTAGCCTCCACAGGAATCTGTATCTGACATGGGAAATCTCCTGATTTCACTTCGTCTGTCAACACATCTAAACACGACTGGTCTGCGGCATTCTGGAAAAGAAAGGAAATATCAGGTCGAAAAACGGTTAAAACTGGACTGGTTTTCTGTATGCAAAGTGTTTACCCCTCTAGAAGTGTGTTCCTTTCACTATTAAATGTTTTCCGATCTTAAAATATAAATTTCATGCAAAGGCAAACTGATGTATAAAAAGCATTTCCTAAATAATGAAAAAAAGGCTATCCAAACCAACCTGACCCAATGCAAAACAGTAACTGTTTCCTAAATCTATGGGCACAAAACACATAGTAAGAGTTTCACAGGCATTGACAACACTGTGAAGAAATTGTCTCTAACTCCTCTTTGCAAATAGTTTCAGCTCATTCTCAAAGGATGGTCACATCATTTTAGAGGCATTGAGGTCTTGACTTTGACCAGTCCATTGCCAATACCTTCTTATTGCTTTTAGAGCTAGACTCTCTGGTAAAATTTAGATCTTTTTTTTTTTGTTTGTTTGTTTTTTTCCCTTTCTGTGATTTTCACTTTGGAAATGTGCCATTGAAGCACTTAGCCCTAACCTCTTTGTTATGATGACACTGACTCTAACTGAGGCGAGCTTGGCTCTTTATGTTCTTAAGAGGATGTTCTGAGCCCTTTTATGACGTTCTCGATCACTCACTGATAAACAGCTATTTGGGTCAATGAATTACTCTTGGGAAGATTCATGACTGCTCCATGTAGGGCTGGGTGATTCACTGATAAAATCTGTTACTCAATTTTTTGCTGTTGTTTATGAAGATTAAATTTAGGAAAATCGGGATTATTTCAAACTAATCCAATCCATATGCTTCCATAGATCAGAGTTAAATCAGTTTATAACTTTTTGGTCTCAGGCGAGTACTAGTGATAGAATATTTCTCAGTGTGATAACCCTAGCTGCAAACATTTTGTCAGGTTGGTTTGTAGGTTTATGACCCACATACAGAATCACACAGAGAACCAGTGAATTTTAAAGTTTTATTTACAAAAGCAGCAACAATCTGGAAGCAGAGAACTACAGGGAGTGAGTTGAACTTTCTGGTTGGTCTGAGGGCAGAAAGCAGACTGATCAGGAAGGAGCTTGTTGATGAAAACTGATGATTGATTGATTTGAGGAAGTGGAGGCTCTATAGGGGTTTGATTCAGTGGGTTTTTAAGACTGTACCCCAGAGGTCTAGAAGAATGTGAGTGAGTATGGAGAGTGTTGGTGCATGCAAGAGACGTGGTGCTGGACGAAGACTGAGAGCTGTCTTAGAAATGTTCTTGGGTGTGCAGCAACACGAGTCGGCTCAGCCACCAGCAAAGATCCTCTCTGTGACAGGAAGCTCACTCATGCCAGGAAAATGAGGAAAATGCTCAGAAAATCTCAAGAGGTCCTAAGAAGTTTTTTTTGTATTTTCTTTGTTTCTTGTGGAAAAACTATTTTTTTTTTTTGTCATTGTTGAAAATTTTTTTTTTGCTTGTTCAAACCAGAAATACAGACAAAAGCAACCTAATTTTGGTCACACTTGGTTTCCACCAAAAGGGCTGACTCAAACAATCAGGGACTCACCTGCCGTCAGTCGGAAAATGTTGCTGCTTGTAGAGCTTTTTAGTTTTTGTTTTAAAAAACTGGGAAACACTGGTTGCCTGATCATGGCAAACTGCTAATCTTGCCAACATCCCCATAAACATGAATAGAAACAAGTCAAATTCTTGTGTGGTCCCTCACTAGGAAAGGTATAAAAATGGGTCAGAATTTTTTTTTCTCTAGTTAATTGAAGTTTTTAATTTTCATTCTAATAAATAAAATCCTCATTTGTATTTGCTCAGGTCGTCTATAACAATAATCAAAAAGTTTAATTATCTGAAATGTTTAGATGTGACGCAAAGGAACATTTGAAGAAATTAGGGGTGCTTATATGAAGTATAAATTCAACCGCTTTTTACTCAAGATAACACAAATGTTAAAACTAGATAGAATTTAAAGTTCTCACCTCCTCTGTAGGAGCATCAGGAGCCTCAGCATGTGCAGCAGCAGCAGTAGCAGAATCAGAGGACTCTATTTGGGTGGTAAATGTGTCCCCTGTTCTCTCAGTTTCCTGAATGTTAATAAAAGGGGAAAACAACTTCTAAGTGAATAAAACAGCTTAATGACAGATTTTTTAAAACTTTAATTTTTTTATTTTTGTTTCTTTCTTTGTTATTTTTGTTTGTTTCTTTGAACAATTTTTAATTCAACCATGAATTAAAAGCATACACATCCTCATAAACTAGACTATGAATTGCTGCGATGCATGGACTCTACAAAACTAAAAAATTATAACCCACTAAAAGTAGTGCTGTAAATGTTTCACTGCAGTTTATGCCAACATATTGGTATAAAATAGTGTTGCGCCGATGCCAATTTTTGGCCCCGATACCTGGCTGTGCAGTATCGGCCGATACCATACCGATCTGTGTGTGTATACATGAAGAACTGCATACTACTTGGATGTAAAATAATTACCATGATGGCTTTGTCAAGCTGCTGCCTACCTTTGTGAAACAGAAAAAAGACAAAGTGAATCCAGTAGATATTTTTATTGCCTACCTGGAATGGGTGACAATAATTGGATTGTTGCCCTATTTGTCAGTACTTGCCGATACCGATACCACCATTTTAGTGCTGTATCGCGGCCCTACCTGATACTGGTATCAGTGCAACACTAGTATAAAACCTTAATACAGCAGCACAATAATGACTGCAGACATATTTCGGAGAATATTAATAAAAAATATAACAAAAGAAAAAAAAAAAAAACAGTTTTGATTGTTTTTACTGTCCCTACCACTTCACAGTGATAATTGACTGTGTCTATTAATTTGATATGGTTTGTGCCTGATACTTTTTTTTTTGTCTATTTTAGCTGGAAAGCATGTTTTCTTTTGAATTTATTAAAAAAGAGAGAACACAATGGATATTATGGATGATATTATTCCTTATAAAGCATAACATTGAAATCGCTTTGTAGAAATCTCACCAGCTGGACAAGTGGAGAGGATGAAACAGCATCATTCACTGCAGAGACAGATTCAGTGACAACAGATTCATGGACCGGCAGGTCAGCAGCTTCCTAAGAGGTAGAAAAAGAGTTTCAGAAGAGAAAGTTTCTCATCTTCGGGACTGTGAGTAATTAAAGTAATCAAATCAAACCAGTTCACTGTTGTGGCGTTGTATATCAAAAAGCATACAGCAAAATAAGATGGCAACAGCACAAAAAAAATGACAAAAACAAAACTATCAGTCTCCTTGTTGTACTTTCCCTGCCAGGGTGCAGTTTCTCTGACCAGCATAGAGCTCAGAAATCTCTGATGAAATTTCCTACATCATGAACAGAACTTTGACACAACAGCTTATTTTCGCTTTGGTCATGTTACTTTGATCTAAAATTTTAAATTATTGTTTTTGTAGTGAAATCAACTAACATAATATAAAGTCCATCAGACAGCAACAGCTGATCCAAATCACTGCTGCCTGTGTTCTCACTAGAACTAAGAAAGTAAAGCACATCAGCCCAGTTCTGAAGTCCTTCCATTGCCTCCCTGTAGCTCAGAGAATAGACTTTAAAATCCTTCTGTTAGTTTATAAATCATTGAATGGATCAGTACCTAAATAAATAACAGATTTGTTGTCAGTGTATCAGACCACTCAGGTCTTCTATTTCAAAACCACTCTGTACATCCAGAACTAGAAGCAAACATTGAGAAGAAGCATTTAGTTCCTATGATCCATTTCTCTGGAACAAACTCCCAGAAGGCTGTAAAAGTGCTGAAATCCTGAATTCTTTTAAGTCAAATTTAAAAACCTATTTTGATTCGACTTGCCTTTGACTGTTGAAGTTAAACTGTTAAATGAGGTATCATTAGTTTAAGTTTGTGGTCCACCTGTTTTATTTATTTATTCTTTACTACCTGCTTTTATCATGTTTTTTATATTCACTTGCTTTTATTCTGTTTTTAATTTTCCCTCTGTTTTATTGTGAAGTAAAGAAAGTATGTGAAAAAAAATTCTTTGCAATACCTCTTTGGCTTCAACAAAAGGGAGATCAGCTTCCTCCATTGGACTTTCAGTTATAGCATTCAGCACCTGTGGAGATAAAAGGCTGCCATGTCACAGTCTAATAAAGCAAGCAAGAAAGAGAAAATCTGAATTTATCTGTTTTCCTTTCATTATATTTTTGCTAATAATTACAATGGAAAAGGTTCTTACTGTTGGGATTTCCAATGATGATACGGGAACATCCTAAGGACATAAAAAGAAGTCTGTTGTTGGCTTTGATAGCAATAGAAGCTATGGAAACTACAACAAACACTAGAAAATTTGCAAATTATGTATTTAAAGAGAATTATGGATATAGATTTCTGTGGTGGCACCTCTGCTGCTGTAACAGGCTCAACACTGAGTGCAGCCAAGTCTTCTTCAGCCACATCTTCCACTTTCTCCTCTCCCTCCTCAGGCGGCTCCAACGGACCAACCTCTACCCCATTTTCAGCCTCCACTGTTTCTATGACCGCCTCCTCCACTGATCCAGTATCTTCAGCAGGAGATTTGTCACTGGTAAGATCTTCTATCTCTCTATCTTCAGCTGCTTCTTTTGCAGACTCTGATATGCTGACTTCTTCAGTGATGGCCCCCTCCAGTTCCAGCTTAGCCTCAGCGTCTTCTTCTGCCAGGGTTTCAGCTTTTTCACTGTCTGCCTCACAGATTTCATATGTCTGCAAAGGCAACAAGATAAAATATGTTCAATTAATCAAGATCACCTAAGGAGTCCAGCTAAATACTGACTGTGAGAAGCTCTTAGAAATGATAGAATTACAGTAACACTGAATTACTTTATATTGCAGGACCAGCTAATCTTAGGCTATAAACCAAAGAACTTACATGATCTGTCTCTTTTTGTATTATTTCATTGCGTTCTGTCTGATTCTGGAAAAAAGACAAACATTTGTTACATTTCTATAAAAAGATGGTTGAATATATAAACTGATCTGTTAATGGATTACTGAATAGTGATGAACAAACATTATTACTTAAAGTTATTTAATCAAGAAGAGCTAATGGAACAGACCTGGTCTAAAAAAAACTGGTAACTTAATGCTGATTTTACACCACCTTCTCAGCTTTTAGTAATAATAAAGAGGTTTAGCCCCATTTCTGAGCTAACAGCTTTCTATTTATGTGTGTTGGTTGCCTTGTAAAAGAAAGTATCCAGATTTCTGCTCTAAGGTCCTATTATGACAATTTTTAAACAAGGTAAATGTTTTTTACTGGATTTTTTTATGCAGCACATTGTCATGTTTTTTTTTATTTTTTTTTACCAGTTTTAATGTAGATTTGCTGATGGATTTGTTAGGTTTTATAACCCAGTTTTGGTCACGTCTAAACTGATGTGATTATGACCTCACAGTTAACACTAGTTTACTCTTTGATAAGCAGAGAAGTTTATGACTGACTCATACTACATGTTGTCCAGGTTCACAATTAAGCCCATAACATAACCTACCTCCACTGTGCTTGATCATTGTGATGTATGTTTCCAGATGATGATGAATTGTTTGGGTGCAACTTTGTACACCTGCCAATTGTTTTCTTTTCTTTTTTTTTTTTTAGGAATAAATGTTTGAAAATTCATCAGGAAAAAAATCAGTCCCCTTTAAGGAGCAAAGAGAATTTCCCATGACCTTATTGGTTACTAGATTGGTATACTTTAAAGTTTTCTTTAGACACAAGCACTGATTTGACTTCAAATAAAAATAAATATATCAAATTTAGACCTTAGAAAAACCTGATCTACTATACTCTCACTTGCCTTATCCACATTTGGCTTATTACAAAATATGTGTGGCTGATTTGTGTCATCAGACAGTAAAACTAGTGTTTTATGTGACAATTAAATATCTATCTTAGATTTACTTCAGCTTCAGAAGCAACCTCTGCTGGAGCTTCTTCTGGGGCTGCAACCTGTGAAGAAGAAAGGGCAGCAAATTTATTCTCTATTGTCAACAAATAAAATAGCCTCAAAATTAATATGCATATGTATCCATCACAACCAATTTTCATAAACAAAAGCAGATCCTGTTTGCAAAGGCCACTCTTATATAGGCTAACAAGCACTTCAAGCTGTTCAACAACATTACCTCAAACACTGAAGCTCAGCTCCTTTCTGACATCTTAAAGGTCAGGCTTCAGGAGTGACGCAAACCGGACTTTCTAAAATTGTGTGAAACAAGTTTCCACACAACATTTTTTTCAGCCTTACTTTAGCTGTGATGGATGACCTAAAGGCATTTAACAGCAAATAAAAAATCCCAGTGAGATTCTTGGCAGGTTTTCTGTGTCCCTATGCAGAAATGCATGCCAGATTTAGCTCTCTAACTTGAGCTCACAGTTTTGCACAAACACAAAAAGCCAATGAACTTTTCCTTGAAATGTTTTGCTTGCTACATTTTGGAAAAAGGGGAAGAACAACCAACGTTCCTTATGAAATCTTGCAACCAATTGAATTTTGGGAAAGGGTTACTCCCTCTCTTTACTTCTTTGTATGTCTTTTAATGTCAGATTTTTGAATCTGCCTTTTAAATGAACTAATTTTCTCCAGGTTAATTTCCAGATGGAATATTTAATCAGTATTTATTCACAAATGCACATTCTTAAAAAGCACCCAAAATGCAAAACTGTATTAATATTCTTTTTTTATTATATATTTTTTTAAGCCATGGAAAGTATTCTTATACCACTAGGTTTTCCTGGCTTAATCTTGAAACTAAATCTAATTTATCAATGTCTTAATTCTAAACCCTTGTTCATTAATTGCCTGAATAACAGCAGCATTGCTAAAAAAAAATTGATCAGTTCATCATTTCAAAATCTGAAAAAACTGCTTACAAATTCAAATACATTAGAATTAGCCAAAAAATGAAATAAGTCCATATAAAATCTAATAATTTTACTCACCTTTCAAATATTCATTTAGAGCATTTATTTTTATAAAATAGACTGTTTATCAGAAAATCAGTATTACTTCTATTGGCTAATTTAAACTAAGCCAGGCTACATGCTGGCAATGAATGAGTTAAAACTATTTAACAGGTCTGTCACTTATTTACCATTAACTGGACAACAGGCATTCTGCAGATCACACGAGGGACCTTGCAGTCAGATGTCAACATTAAATTCTTTTATGAACATTGGCCAGATATTAACATCATATTTGGCAGTTTTTTCAAGATATTAATCTTAACAAGTGTCTTAAATTGCTTAATTAAAATGAATTTTTCTTCCATTCTCTCCTGATCTGTTGTGCCGAGAATTATCTGCCTGCCGAGAATTACCTCCCCTGTTGCTGGAGCGAACATCACCCTAAACTCACACCCATTGATGAGAAAACGGATTAAAATATAAACGAAAAGGGAGAAAGGGAGATCTTAAACATATTCTTATTGTTTTCATATTTCTTATACATGGATGCCTTAAAATTGATAGTTTGGGTGGACAGATAAATTCGAATTAATAGGTTTTATCTTGTATGGAGACAAGTTTGAGTCGATGAGCTACAGTCAGTGTGCGATGAATAAAGTCTCTGCTCAATGGATGCCAATTCCTGATTTTTCTATCAACACCATTCTAGATCATTTCTGACACTTTATTTGTTTACTTAGAACCTGGAACCTGATGAAGAATCCCTCTCCTCCTTATTTTCACATTTATTGTCCCAGACTTATGAAATTCATACCACAATCACAGAGAACAGGTATGATTATGTGGAGAAACTTGCATAATTGTAAACATTATTTCTCAAACTAAGCAGGGGAGGGAGATCTCACCAACTTAGAACCCGGAACCTGCGGAAGATTCCTTCCCCTCCTTATTCTCACATTCCCTCAAATCGTGTTGTCTTTGCCGGTTAGCCGTGATGCTGTTCAGAACACCTTCACCTGCTCCGCTGGCTGCGCCACTGAGGTTGAAATCGAAATCGCATGAACCCTCTGGGCCACCATAATTTGCTCAGGCTACTTGTAAGCGGACAGCCTGCCAAATGTTGAAAGGGCAATATTATTGCAATTACTGTTGATATATAATATAAATTTACATATTTAGTAAAAAAAAATGTCACAGAGGATGGTATGGGGGAATGGTCATTTAAGAAGGTGGATGATTTTTAAGATTTTTTTAGGAAGAGGGATGCCATCCCCCACTCATTCCCCTCAACTCGAGTACTAATTATCCTGTGTGGAGACTGTGACCTACAGTAATGCATGGTGTTTTCAGCCAACCCTTTTGATTTCCTGCAAGCAGTTAAATGACCAGCGAGGCCGAAAATAAAGTGCAGCCAAGTGTGTTGAGCCATACTGGCAATCACAGAGAGAAGCTCATGAATATTAGAAACTTTCAGTGTCTGATCATAAATAATTTAACTTTGACTTGTGCCAATCCCCTTCTAAATGTCTAAATGTAGGACAAATCTACTTTATGCAATATCCTTCCACTTCTCATTTTTAGTCCTGCTTAAGTGTGATGATTAAAGCATTCAAATCTGTCTCTATCCTGCAAGTAAAGGCAGCCTAAAGAAAAAGAGCAAAGTAAGCAGAATTAGCTACTTTAAGATATAAACCTCATGTTACTTGTGGTTTAATAGACAAAATGATTGGGTGAGATTTAAAGCTGTTTATATGCTGTTAAACGTACACACATGTAAAGGTAGCCACACAGAAACTTCATCCTCTCTCCAGAAAGCACAAGGGGAACTGAATGTGCAGAACTGTGCATGTATAAAGCCTCAGTTAAATTCAGCTACACCTATAACTGTAACAGCAGCAGCTTTAAAATTTATTTAATAAGGGGGAAGGAGGTAAAGGTGTTTCTTATTATTGTAACTTGTGAAAAGAAAGCCGTCAAAGATGCTATAACAAAGGCAAGAGTTTGACACCTGCTACTTAGATTTCTGCAGAGGTATAGGCTTGATGCAATCCTCTGGGATTCCCTGGACAGACCATCAATCAGAGTTGGGTCCTAATAGTCTGGTAGTTTTTACTTATAACAACAACAAAATCAAGGAAAAATTAAAAAGCAGCTAGCTTTGTCAGGATTTTGGCGTTGATGTCTGGTCTTATTATTCATTTAAATCACCTGCCAAGCTCTGACCTGTTCTCATTACTACCCATCTGATCAACCTTCTTCAGTCTTTATTTAACCAGCCTTCAGACCAGTCATCAGTGCCAGATTATTTCAAGCCAGTGGTATCAAAATTTTAGAGCATTCCTGTGTTTCTGATTTCCTGATCCTCAGAGATGGGAAGTAACGAAGTACAAATACTTCGTTACTGTACTCAAGTAGATTTTTCTGATATTTTTACTTTACTTTACTACTTATTTTTATGGTGACTTTTTACTTCTACTCCTTACATTTTTACACAAATATCTGAACTTTCTACTCCTTACATTTTAAAAAATTGGCTCGTTACTTTAGTTTTGAATCATTTCAATGGAGTTACCGTTATTATTTTTCATGTCATCAATACCAAATTCAATCTAATTGGATGGGAATCTACGTTGCATTTGACGCACCACTACAAGATGAATCGACAGATTCGGCGGTATTCATACGCGGCAAATCATTGCAGCTTGGTGGCGGTGGCGTTTGCATAGTAGTATGGACGACGAGATGATTGAAAATGAACACAACAGAGATCTAGTCCTATTGGCAGACATCCATTTAAAATGTAGGCAACGGCATGAAAAAAGTGGTTTCTACTTTTACTTTTATACTTTAAGTAAATTTACAAGCCTGTACTTTGTTACTTTTACTTGAGTAAAGAAGTTTAATCAGTACTTCCACTTTTACCAGAGTATTTTTTAACACAAGTATCTGTACTTTTACTCAAGTACGGAAAGTGAGTACTTTTGCCATCTCTGCTGATCCTAACTTATTCTGCCTGTGGACCTCTTAGTCTGCCTGTCCCGGTTCTGATCGGTTTGCCTCACCTATCCTCAGTGTGTACCAAACCTGGAATTCTTTTCCTGACTCCATTCTAGATTCTCTCTTTTATTTGGGTGTGATCTCCTGGCTCTAACTACTGAGCATGTCACTGACATTGGCTTTGGTTTCGTCCTCTGGATTATCCTGCCTATCTTTGTCTGGCTGGTTCTGATCTCCTGCCTGTCTTCCGACCATGGATACATTAACATCTGGGACTCTCTGGACAGCGCCCGCTGCGTCGTGTTGACAGCCGACCGGCTGGAAGCAGCCTCGCCCTCTGGGCTTGGACTGAACTATAAGACCAGGTTAGTGACTCACACATTCATTATCATCCAGAAAGACGTGGTCACTAACCTGTTATCTCCTCCTACCTTAGACGCTGCTCATTGTGGTTCTGTTTCCAATAAATGTTTTGAGAAATCTGTTTTTCCCCATTGTATACTGGATCCTATTGTTCTAAACCTGACAAGCTTCTGTCGAAAAACTTTGAAAGACTTTTTACAGTCTTGCGTTGTTGATAAGTATAAAAAAGTTATAAGTATAAAAAGTTGTGCTTCTTTGCAAGCAAAATACCAAAATAAACAACAAAAAAGTAAAAATGTATCAACGCATCCAGATAAAATGTAAATTTGGTGATGCAAACAAATGCAATTGCCATTGAGCCAATTCAAAGGGAACCAGTCTAACCAGGAATGCACAATCAGTGGTATAATAGCATGCCTGGATATGTGTTCAGACAGTTACCAAGGCATCTGACGGTCATTACAGTAAATATAATAAAGGTCATCTGACAGAAAAAGCAACAAGGAAGAATTAGGATGACAAATGTGTGAGTGCACCTCTGTCCCCAATGGTTCCAACATGGGGCAACTTTTATATCTTTTTGTCCCTTATGTTAACTACAGGGCTCACATCACACTCAGAATGCTTTCCTACCATTGGGTGCTGTTAATGTAATGTATAAATAAGGCATCATCTATGTCTGTTAATCTTCACTCACCATTTTGACTACAAATTTGATACAAACACCTGGATTTCCTTTGATGGAAATGACTCAATTAAATTGTCTCTGTAAATTGCCTTGAGATGATGTGTTATGAATTGACACCATATAAATAAACTGAATTGAATTGCATTTTCTAGAAACTGCTTGTTGCACGTCAATTCACTCTTTTCCTCTTGTAACAGTTTCCTGCAAGTTGATTGCCTAAAAGATACCCATCACTGGTCTGCAAGTGAGCCAGGTTTTTGTGCTGGTATTAAGAATGAGCAGGTGAAAAATAACCTATTTTATTACCTCAAAGACAGCTTCTGATTCAGAAACAGAAGATTCAGCTTCCTGTGCCAGATCATCTTCAACTGTAGAGGGCTTCACTGGAGGACTACTTTCAACTGGTCCATCTTTACCTACATGTGCTGGATCTACAACTTCATCCCCCACTCTGGATTCCACATCCAACTCACAGGAAGCTTGTTCCAACAGCACACCACCAGACTCTACTGTAGCTATCTCATCATGGACATCTGCGGTATCTTCTTTCTCAACAGGCTCTGGTTCCTCTTTTTGAGGTTCCACTAAGGGGATAGAGATGGGAACAGCCTGTGGAAGGTTTTCACGATTGGGCGGTGCAGTTTTAGCTGTGGGTTTAGCTGCTTTTTTGAGATTTGTTATAGGAGGTGGCCTAACTGCAGTCCCTGAGCTGGTTTTTATTGGTGGATTTGCTGCATGCTGCTCCTCCAGTGCTCTCCTTTGGGCTTGCTGAAACAAGAAAAAACAGAAATATACTGTAGATGAGGTCGACTAATAATGCAATGCTAAACAGAACCACTAAAGCTAGAAAGGAAGAGAAACTTTAAAAAGCGTAGTGCGTCCTTTCAGGTAAAACTCCCTTTGCTCTGACTCCGCAAATTAAATTCCAGGGGCAGTAATTCTCTTCAGGTGTTGCCTATTGATCCTACTATCGGCCACCTGTGTGAATTTTATTATCACAATTAATGTGTCTAAACTATGAATGACTGGGAGGTTCATTAGACAAAATCAGCTGTCAAAAGGGACCATGAAGACTAAGGAGCAGACAAGTCAACAGGAGCGGTGCTCATTGTTTGGGTGCTCTAAGTGCGAATGCCCACATAGTACAGGAAAGTATATTCTTTTTTTAAGAACAAAATATATCAAGAAGGTTCATCCTGCTTCTGTCCTTTCAGGTGAGCTTTCAGATGTAGAAAGCAGCGGCTGGTCTGACTTTGCAGGAGAGGCGGACAGGAGGCAGACAGATTAGACCTCAATTCTAGAATTTTTAAGAAAGCCACATTGCAGATGAGTTCCAGAAAGTATGGAAGCACGTGCATTAATCATCCATTAAAAGAAATCGATGATGTTAGAAGGAAATGTCTGATTTTTCAGGAATCGTGACACAGGAGGCCTGTGTCAATGTTTCCCAATCAAATCAAAGAATTGTACTGAATGTCCCTCCCTTTGTGAACGCTTTCCTGATACATAAGTGAAGTTCAATTTGAACTCTTCACAGTATTCATCTTTCTTATGCCAGGTTATTGTACCTGTGTAGAAGCTAAAAAAAAGGCCAAAAAATTATTACTAATATTTAACAGTTATTTGGTTCCAGTATCAAATGATCAAGGATAATGGAACAAGTTCCCCAGCAAACATACCAAGATACTGACTTTCACCTAAACCTAAACTCGGGAGTGGTGGCCTTGTGGTTAGGGCATTACGGTTGGATCCCAGAGGTTCTGAGTTCAATCCCCACTCCTATGGACTGCCACTCTGGGTCCCTGAGCAAGACCCATAACCCCAAACACTGCTCCCCAGGCGCCGCAGAGTGGCAGCCCACTGCTCCTCAAAGGGATGGGTTAAATGCACAATGCTGAATTTCATTGCTTTGTACTTATGACAGTGTAATCACAATTAAGTTGATTGTTCTTCTTCTCTTCTTCTTCTAAACTTGTTAAAGTCAGTAGCATCAAAACATGAATTAACAAGAGGTGAACAGTGGAAATTGAAAACCTGCAGACATCTACAGCACAGGTGAGATAATCCGTTAACTGTATGACTATCAATCTGAAGCAAAAATTCCCATTAAAACCTGCTGAAGGTAATTGTTGAAATAAAATGTCAATAAGGTCCAAGCAGCATTGATAATTTTGGAAGGTAATCTTTTTAATGAGTATAATATAGGAGTAAAAGCCTAAAACTAAAACTGTACTTTCTAAATGCCCTCATAGAGCACAGCTACTAATACTACTAGTGAAATTCAGCTCATTCTAGCTCTTGCAGGAATACAAGGTAGGCCATATTTGTCAGTTCCAACATATTTTTCAGCTTTGGACAAAACCCCCTCAGGCCTCAATGGAGATTTTAGAAGAGCAGACCACTGGAGGGTGGGGCCAACTGGGATTGGGCCCAGCAAAGCTAGTTAGATAATGGGAGCTAATTAGTTGAATCAAAATGGTCCTGACAGGTCTGGTGAAGCGGGAAGAGAAACCGTGCGAGTCAGCAGCACTCATGGGTGCCCTGCGGGCCAGACAGGGAGTCTAATCACTTCATAATCAGGTTATAATCACTCCCAAAAAATGCTTTTGTTAGGCCGAAAGCCAGCTCGGCATTGCTAGACCTGTGGTGCAGGCCAAGAGTGCCTGTGTGTGTGTGCGCGTCTTTTCCAGCCAAGCACCGTCAAAACACTCCCTGTGTTAGTGATGTCCACATAACTGAACTTGATATTTAGCAACCAACTGGACTCTGAACAAGACATGAACAAATGATTAAGACCTAAAGTTAGCGCCATAAGCCCTGAACCATTGAATAATTATCAGAAATTTTTTTATCTCCATTTAACAATCTGCCAAATGAACAAAGTAGCAATTTTCATAACTTTTATTGAATATTTGATACATTAAGCTTCATCGTGCTATTTATTATACAGTTTCTGTTCACTGCATTATTCTGTTCGTTTACATCATGTTTTTTTAAGAAATAAAGCATCACAGTAGCTGTGCAAACAACAGGCTGAGCACAGAAAACATCTAAAGATCCCACAAATCTACTTTACTGTAAATTTGGGTGGCTGCCCTTCAAACGGCAACATCAATGCCCAGGCTGCCACTTTTGTTCCTAAAGCTGCATTTCTTCTTAACTCCTAACGAACCTTCATCTGTCCCACTCACCAACATGCAAAGATGTAAGCTTTACGTATGTATGCATGTGAATATGTTATGTAAGCAGGAGATATGTTTGGCGGTATGTAGATAGATGGACTATGTGGTTGTGTGGATATGTTTCAATACATAACACAAATATTCCGTTCCATAGCATAATTTCAATAATTTTTTATTAATTTTTAATTGCCTCTATGAACGTCTTTACTTCACTGTGCCATGGAATTGCTCTTGAATTGAAACTCATGTTTTAAATATGGTACACATGGCATTACAGGGGTTAGAGAACAGTAAAATATAGTTATGAAAAGGTAACTGCTGTCAGCACAAAGCTGGACATGACTTAAGGAGCCATTTTGAACTTAGAGCCATTTGTTGACTGTGAAAACCAGAAAAATTGTATGCATTCCAAAGCCCTAGCAGTTTATTTCATCAATGAAAACAACATGTTTAAAAAAAGCACTGATGTGGTAATAAGAAGGACAGACTCTGACATTAAGAGGGGCATAAAAGCTCTAAAAATAAATCCTGTTGCCTGCAAACACTCATAATTTGATTGGTTTGTTATTTTACCTAATAAAGAATGTAAATGCTAATAGACAATTAAAAGGCATGTACTTATTACTTAAGGTTATTTTTGATTTGCTATCCATGGACAGGTGTCAGAGTAATCCCAATACAAAATGTATACAAGCAAAGCTAAGGCATTAGAGATGTTTCTATTCCATGATCATTTGGTCAAATTATAAAAAAAAAATCTAAAAGATTTCTTTCTAATCAGTGGTTGTTTGAATATGGAGAACTGTTGCTCCAACGTATCGAGAACAGAATGTATATTAATTCAATGTTTTTCCTGGCCTTCATCAGAAAGGACAACTTCTTTAATACATACTTGGGAATGGTCCTTTAATGGCTTCTTTCCAAGCTGAATTTCAAACTACTTCCACCATTTTGGAACCTGTAGTACATTTCTGCCTCGCCTAAGTTTAATAGTGCTCAGCAAAAATGATGAACAATAATATTAGCCAAAAAAAAACCCCAATGATGTATCTCTAGTGATTAAAATATTTTTAAAAAATGAAAAAGATCTGATAAAATCCTAAATGATAACAAACAAAGTACAGAATCAGAAATACTTTAATAATCCCACAGGGAAATTACTTTTGTTAAGGTTTTTCCTCTACATTAAAAAGGGTAAACACCCATACAAACTGAGTGAAAAAGTTTCTATAATACTATGCACTGTAATTGTAAATGAGTTGGTATTGACAATGCTTGTTGGGTTTGAGTGCATTCCATGCCATTACTATATCAAATGACTCAAAAAACTTTTCCTAAAAAGAATAACAGCCTATTTTCTATCTATCTTCTTATTCAATCATAGAAACATTACCTTATGCCAACATAAATTGAGGAGAACCATGATTATGGACAATAAGACAAACATTTACAAATTACATAAAATTTTCTTTGGCCATCGAAATGCATACTTTTTTAATAATGAAAAATAGTACAGCAAGAGAGATTTTTAGGTATTTGCATGGAAAAAAAATATTTTATCATGAGTTCTGCCCATGACAGGAATGAGAGTCATTGAAACATATATACATATTGAGCTAAATATTAGTAATTAGGTTTTATATTTGCTCATATTTTGCCCTTTTTTTTCTTAAAGATCTGCAAAACACTTTAATATGACTGGCTTGGTGGATGTAAAGAACAAGGTGTAGAGAAATTGATATTTTTGCTAAAAAAAACTACCGGTAAAGATTTTGCTGTGTGAGGACTGGAGGAAATCTTTGCTCTGGGAGTAAACAGAGCTTCTGTGTTACTTTCTCACTCATACAGATCTCCCCTCTGCCACACCCACTATGTTTCCTTTAAGCACTCGATATTCAAAAGCTCCTCTTTCCTACCGAGGCAATAGGAAGGAACCTGGAATCTTATAAATTAGTTTCTACAGACATAATATAGGGTTCTGCTTTTGTTAATTGTAAATTTTCTTAGTCTTTGCACAGGTTTTAAAAACCCTGTTTAAGTTAGAAGAAAAAACAAGCAAAGTACAATTTTTTTTGCAGTCTCTTCATGACTCAAAGGGCAGGCAAAATCTCTCCATCTTAAACATAAAAAGCGATTTCCTCTTTGAAAAATAGAATATATTATGGGGAATGTTGTGATTATCATCTAGTTCGGTTACATTTAAAAAAAGATAATGTTAGAACTGTAAATATACAGTCATATATTTATATTACTATCTTTTTAAAATGTCTTTATTACTGTTTTCAAGGCTGCACTTTAAGAATTAATAGTCTGGAGCTTTTTTGAATGAAATATTTTTTTTGTTTACACTCTATGTATACAAAATGACAAAATAAATTTGTCTTAAGTCTAAATTGAAAAACAAGCCTTAACATTTTCTTTTACCTCTACCTTCTACATAAAGAAGGTGCTTTTTTTCACCTCAAAAAGGAAAGTTTGAGTTTTTCAACCACAAGTGACTCATTATTTCAGGAGAAAACTAAATAATTAAGAATAAAAAAAAAAAACACACATGATTTATCTTGCTGATAAATCATTTTAGTTGATAAAAAGTACACCTGTCTACACTCACCACCCTCCTCATGCGACGCTTGTTCTTCTTCCTCTTGCTTGGCATTTTGGGTGCGCTGTTGGGAAAAAAAGAAGAACCAAACAGAATAAGTGAATCCGACAAAAAGGCAGAACGGATAATGTAGATGTTTATAAAGCTTTCTATGTTTCACTCCCATTTTACCTTCAGACAGAACCTATAGGAGGACTGGGGTGGAAGATGGGGGGCGTGTAAATGCAGAGAGTGAAAAGACGCGCGCATGCGCTGTGACGCGCGCTGGTTACATGTTTTCATGGGACGACCTACCTACGTTTGGGACGATGCATGGTGTTATGTAAGCCCTCAATCAAAATACTGAGAAAGTCAGATGGTTTTGCTGCATTTGGACACTTTTTTTTATTTATTTATTTTTTTTTTTAGCTCAAATAGATCATAAACTTCAGTTAACATCATGTACAAAAGTGTAACAACTGATGCTTCCTCCACTACATTCATGACAGTGTTTTGAATAAATTTAAATTATGAAACTAAATAACAGATGTCTTTGTTTGAATTTTATGCTGGGCACACAGAGTGAAAACTCGCCCCCTGGACGGCTGCAGCTGTAAGGCTCCATTGTTTACAGCTTCTTCTGCAGTAGTGTATGAATATTTAATATAAAAAAAATATCCCTTTGTGTTGGACAGATTTATCAGCTTTTGCTTGAAACATTTAAAATAAATGCCATTTTTTTTATTGCAGTTGTTAAATACATGTGCTTTCAATTTCAGTATGATCCAACTGTTTTAATCCAATTTTTAATCTGAGCACATTTATTTAGTTGGAGAAATGTGTTGGGGTCTGGGAGTTTCCTTCTTCTTACAGGTCCTTCTAAAATATTAGCATATTGTGATAAACTTAATTATTTTCCATAATGTAATGATAAAACTTGAACATTCATATATTTTAGATTCATTGCACACTAACTGATATATTTTAGGTCTTTTATTGTATTACCGTATTTTCACGACCATAAGGCGCACCGGACTAAAAGGCGCACTCTCAGTTATGTGTGCCATTTCTGTATTTAACACACACATAAGGCGCACCGGACTATAGGGCGCGTTTTTTATATAAAGGTACATGTCCTCTCAGGTGGATTTTCTCACTTAAAAACATATTAAAACTACTTTATTCCCACTGATCACAGCAAATAAAGCTGCAAGGTGTATTTGCTGTGATCAGTGGGAATAAAGTAGTTTTAATATGTTTTTAAGTGAGAAAATCCACCTGAGAGGACATGTACCTTTATATAAAAAACGCGCTCTATAGTCCGGTGCGCCTTATGTGTGTGTTAAATACAGAAATGGCACA